GGGGGAGGCTGGAGAGATAGCTAGCAATTAAGAGCACTGGCTACTCTTGTAGAGGACCTGGGTTCTGTTCCCAGCACCCACAGAGTGGCTAACAATCTTCCATAACTCCAGTTCCAGGGGATCTGACTCCCTCTTCTGACCTCTGCAGGCATTGCAAAACACAGGTGCATTTACATACATGCAGGCAATACACTCATATGCATAAAATAAAATAAAAATAATTATTAATTTTGTGTGCTTTATATGTATGTGTGTCAATGAAGAGGTGCATGGACATGAATGCAGGGATCCACAGAGGCCAGAAGTGGGTACCAGATCCCATGGAGCTGGAGTTACAGATGGTTATGAGTTGCCCAACATGGGTGCTGGGAACTAAACTCAGGTCTGGGAGGCAGCAAGCACTCTTAACCACTGAGAAATCATTCCAGACCCCTTTTAAAAAATCTTTTAATGGACTGTTGTTTTGAGTTCTGCAAGTTCACAGGCATCTGACCACCACTGCTATGATTGATGCTTAACGTTGCTTCCTGGAAGACATTACAGTTCTCTGAGCTGTCACTTTTCTGTTGGGAGATAACCCAGAAAGATACTGTAAGACTAGTACTGGTTCTTTCATATAGATTTAGAGAGAGAAAGAGATGTTATTTCTTTTATTTTTAATTGTGTGCATGTATGTGAGAGTATTAGTTTATACACATGAGTGCAGGAGCCTGAGAAGGTCAAAGGCATCAGATCCCCCTGGGGCTATAGGCGGTTGTGAGACAAATGACATGAGTACTTGGAACCAAACTCCAGTCCTCTGCAAGATCCATATGTACTACAACCACTGTGCCATCTCTTTATACCCTAGTACTGGTTCTTGAGAAGCAGAGGCTGTGGGCTGAGGCCTTTTTCTTTTCTCATTTATTGATTTATTTGTGTGTGTATAGTGTGTGTGGATGTGTATGTGTATACCACATACACACACACACACACATGCGTGCAGGAATGCATGCATATATATACTCTCAGAGGCCAAAGGAGGACCTGGGGTGTCCTCTTCCATTCTCCATCTTATTTCTTTGAGTCACCGTCTCTCACCGAACCTGGAGTTCGGCTGCCAGTCAAAAGGCCCCATCAATCCTCCTGTCTTCACCCCACATAGCACTAAGGTTATAGGTTTGAGTGCAGCTATACCTGGCTTTTTACTAGGTTCTGGAGATCCGAACTTAGGTCTACATGCTTGCTCAGAAAGGCTCTTACCCTGTGAGCCATCTCCCCAGCCCCCAGAGGCTTTTCCCTTGTCATCACGAACACAGACCCAAGAGGTTCTGATGTCAACCAGCATTTCCTGAAAGTCCTCCACCTCGGAGGCCTTGGTCTTGCTTATGGAAAAAACCTTCTTCCGGGTAGAGAAGGTGGGCTACAGCTGCTCTTCTGCTCTGTATTCTCCGTGTCTTTGGCTGATTCGTGTCTACCTTTGAGCTTAAGGTCATCATTTGTAAGCCAAGTGTGTTGGGCTGTCTCTTCACTCTCTAGAGCTGTCATGACAAAGGACTGCAGACCAGGTGGCCAAAACAACAGAAATGCATTTGCTCACAGTTCTGGAGGTTGGAAGACCAAGCCCACAGGGTCAGCAGGGCTCTCCCGAGGCCTCTCTTCTTGGCCTATGCATGATGTCTTCTCTTGGGTATATCCCAACTGTCTGGGTCCTAATCTTTTCCTTATATACAAATACCATTTGTATTGCATAGGGCCCACCCCTGTGACTCCATTTTACCTCAATCACCTCTTCAGAGACTATATTTTCAAATACAGTCATATTCTGAGTTTGGGGGGAAGGGTTATGACTTCAACACATGAACTTTGAGGGGTCACAACTTACATTACAGACAGATCAGTTTTTCCCAACACAGGGACTCCCGCTCCTGGTGGAAGTGACATCACAGCAAACACCAAAAGAAGCCTTGAATAACAAGCAGATTTTCCACATACTTGAAGAAGGGAATGTTTGGTTTAGTACTAATGTGCCTTTAATTTTTTTGTTGCTATTGTTTTATTTTGTATTGTTTTGAGACAGAATATCTCTGTATAGCCCATACTGGCCTCAAACTTACAAATCTCCTACCCTAGTCTCCTGAGTTCTGGAATTATAGTCATGCACCACCACACTTGGTGTGCCTTTAGTATATTTTGGACACTTTCCAATGCAAATGGAGAGTAGGCATCAGGCACAGAGCTTCAGCAAGTAACCACATCTGTATCAGTTACCTACAGCTGTGTAACAAATTACCCTCAAATTTAATGGCCTCAAAAACTACTCATTTACTAGACTAGAATCCACAGGTCGGGAATGTAGGAGCATTGTAGATGGGTGGTTCTGGCTCATGGTCTCTTACGAGGTCACAGTTATCAGAAGGTTTGACTAGAACTAGTAGATTGACCTCTAAGGTGGCTCAGGGTGGTGCTGGCGGTTGGCCAGAACGCTCAGCTCCTTATCATCTGGATATCCCTCCAGACTGCTTGAGTATCTTCACAGCATAGCATCGGGCTTCCTCCAGAATGAACAATGGAGAAAGCCAGGGAACAAATGGAAAGCAGCATCTCCTTCCTACTAGCCTTAGGAGTCATATGCTATCACTCATAGACTATCCTTTCTATTAAGAGACAGTGAAATACGTAGACCCTAGATCAGTCCCATTCACTGCAGAGGGAACAACACAAGGACATGAAAACCAGGAGGCAAGGATCACTGGGGACTGTCCCAGAGACTAGAAATTCACAAGCTCTGTTTTCTGATTAACTATTTTATTGGCTACTTAATTGTTTACCCAGAAAATATATATTAGTGCCTTGTCTTTTAATTTACCAGCAATGCTATATTATTCTATAGCCTGTTTTCTTCACTCTGCAGTATGAGATCTATCTGGGTTGGCATCCATAGATCTAGCATACTGCCCTAAATTATCAGCACACGTCATTTTTATTAATCTACTTCCCTATTGGAGGCTATTTAGTTTCCAACTTTTTTCTTTTATAACAATGATGACTGAAAATCTTTGTACATATCCTAAAATAAGTAATGAAAGGAAATTGGTGGGTTAAAAATGATACATATCCTGTCTTTTGATAAATAGGGCCAACTGCCCTTTGCACTACTGACTTACATTCTCTTCCTACAAAAAAAAGGATCATTTCCGTTTCTCCACAGTGTTACTCCTGTTGCTTTATATTTTGCTTTACATTTTAACAGTGTGTATCTTTCTTTTTATTTTCTTTTTTGAATAGGGTCTTGCTATGTAGCCCAGCCTGGCCTTAAACTCTTGGTCTTCCTCCCCCAGTCTCCTGAGATCTAGAATTATGGCCATGCTCTATGACAACTGGCTCAGTTTTGACAATTTGATGGAAAGATAAATGATATTTCAATGTTTTAATAATTTCTTTTTTTGAGACAGGATCTCATGTATCCCAGGCTGGCCTTGAACTCGCTAGGTAGCCAGAGATGACCTTGAACTTCTGATCCTTCACCACCTGAGTGCTGTGATTACAGATGTACAACACTGTACCCAGTTTGTACAACGCCAGAGTTCGAACCCAGGGCTTAGTGCATGCTAAGCAAGCATCCTATCAACTGAACTACATCCCTAGCCCTTAATTATGTCTTACTTTATGCTAAAATAACATAAAACTTCCCATCTGAAGAATTTTTAAACCACCCAGTTCAGTGGTGTTGACTGTATTCTCATTGTTGCATAACAGGTCTTCTGCAAAATTGAAAATCAACACCTACTCAGCCACTCTCAGTATTCCCTCCCCAGCCCCCAGCAGCCACACAACTTTCTGCTGTCTGAGTTGGATTACAATGCCTCACATAAGCAAATAATGCAGAGTGTCTTTGCTCTTTGTACCTGGTCAGGTTCTCTCAGCATAATGTCCTCAGACTGCACCCACACTGTAGCATGGGGAAGGATGTCCTTCTTTCTGAGGTTGAATAATATCTCATTGTGTCCATCTACCACGTTTCCTTTAGCTGTGTATCTGGAGATGGGTATTTGTGTTGTTACCCATAGCCTTGATTTTACCAAAACGTATGAACAATCTCTTAGTTATGTGTTAATTTAATAGGTGAAAAGTAATGTCTTCTTCCTTTAAAACAAAACAGAACCACTTCAGAGTTGAGGCGGTAGCTCAGTTGGTCAAGTGCTTATTCAGCTTTCTAAATTGAGAATAACATGCACGAAGTCCTGGGTTCAATCCCCAACACTGCATAAATCATAACATATACCTTAAATCCCAGCACTCAGGAAGTGGAGGCAGGAGGGTCAGAGGCTCAAGACCATCTTTGGCTGCCTAGCTAGTTGGAAGCCAGCCTGCGCTATGTGAGATCCTGTCTCAAAGAGAGTTTCAGTTTCTCCACATCTTTACCATTACCTGTTATTTTTCTGTCATCATTGTTATTTAGACAATAGCCAGTCGAAATCTTAATTTTACATTTCACTGAGTTCCAGAGAGTTTGGGCCTCCATACATAGTCCCACCTACCTGAGTGATGGAAAAATTACAGCTTTAGGAAATTAACGCACTTACCCCAAAGCTCAGGGCCAGACAGTGGTGGAGCCAGAGCAGAGGCAGTGTGGTGTTCTCCTTATAACCATGTCCTTACCAACCTTTCACCTGCCCTTAAATTTGCAGTGCTTCTTTAAGAAAAGAAATGAAGAATGGTGGATGGTGGCTCACGCCTTTAATCCCAGAGGGAGAGGCAAGTGAATCTTTGTGAGTTCCAGGCCAGCTGGGGCTACAGGGAGACCCTGTCTCAAAAAGACCAAAAGAAACAAAAAAACAAAACAAAACAAAAACAAAAACAAAAAAGAAACGAAGGAAGAGAGAATGGCTTGTACTTCTGACCCCTGTCTGTTTCCCTCCAGATTGGGCGGGGGGGCGGATTCTACAGAGCATTGTTGTTTTTGGACTTGCAGGCTCAGTGGCCTTTACCTTCACCTAGGAGGAAGTGGTGTACAAGCTAATACCTCAGACGGGAAATGTGTGCCCAGAAGACTATAGCTCCATTGTGTGCGGCTGGATGCCTTCCATGGGCTTTGTTTATGGGACAGATTGTTTTTGCAAAGTTGTTTGCTCCGGTAAGTGTTCAAGCTCTTGAGGCCCCCGGGCCATTCGTTGGACAGGGTCAAATTTACGGGTAGCTCAGAGCCTGGGCAGGAAAGGTCTACAGAGGAGTTAGATCCCAGGGGAGACTTCTGGAGCTCCCTCAAAAAAGCCAAACCTGCTCTTATTTGATTTTTAAAATTGATGTGCTACGGTGTTGATTTTTCCCTCCCTCTTGGCTGTGGGTGTCGGTATTTTTGCGTTACCATCCACATTCCTCGGCAGTTCACCTCTGCACACTTCCATATGTGTTACTAGGATTTTGCATTTTCTTTGGTTTTCCCAAGTCTTCCTGCCAGAAGTGTCATGCACCTAGTAGCCAAGCTCTCCTGCACCCATTTGTTCCAAATCAGTGAGCAGATGGGCCTGCATGAAGGATAAGGTGAACATTCCCCACTCAGGGGCCAGGGTGCATTTCTCCTCTGGTGGTCTGGCGCTGTGGTCCTCTGACGGGGACACATTGTGTCTGGCTCACAGAGCGGATGCCAGCTGCTAACATGTGTTCCTTCCTCATTGTTCTGTCTTCCCACCCACCCACTCCGCCAGCCAGACTACCCCATCTCCCAGCATTTCCCACTGTTCCCAAACCTCAAGAATTTAAGCCAGGAGGTCTAGGAAGGACAGATGCAAAAATGAGAAGTGTTGGGTGTCTTACCTTCTCAGAGCCTCTGCTTTCTCCACTGCACATGGAATAAGGCCATCCTGCTTCCTGAGGGCATTGCAGCAGTCAGGGACACCACAAGCTAAACATGCAGCACTTAGTGAGGCACTCAGTAAGTGGCTGGAAAGGTAGCTCAGCATACAGCATATCTTAGCATACCCAGGCCATGAGTTCAATTCCAGCACATAACAACAACAATATAAGTTCCTCTCATTTCCTGAATACCACCTTGGGCCAGACCTTCAGCCTTATATCCAACAATACATAGTTGAGTGCAAACTACAACGAACAGACTAGTATTTGGAGTGCACTGATAAAAAATAGACACCTAGACCCACCTGGGAGTGTCTGGGAAGGCTTCCTGGAGGAGGTGGTATCTAGACTGAGACAAAAATGGAGTCTCCCTCTGGTATTTAGGTGATTCTACCAAGAGCAATTCAGAGTTTTGACAGACACCATTTGGTATTCATGACTCTTGAAGTGCCTGGCAAAGTCCTCATTCATTCATTCATTCATTCACTTATTCAACCAGTCTACAAAGTGTCAGTAAACACCCTTAGTGACATGAGACGCCTGGAATGTTCACATGAGGCCAGTCTGTCACTTTCCAGTCACTCAGGTCCCAGACAACTTCAAGCATTACCCATGTCGGTGTTCATGGGAAGATAGCTGGGCTGGAGAGGGACAGGTTGTGAGGTCTTGTGTCTAACATGTGACCTTCCTGTGTCTAACACATGACTTTCCTGATGTCCTGAGTCTTACACATGAACTTTGTGAGGTCCTGCATCTAACAGGTGACCTTTCTCATGGTCCTTCTTGTTCTGTCACTTATCTTCATAATGCTTCAGAATGACTTTTGTTCCCATTTTAAATCAAGGACATTGAAGTGCAGGAAGTGTGTTAGTCAGACTTCTGATCACCATGACACTGGCTCACGGTCTCAGTCAGTGGTCATCCGGCTCTATGATCTGTGGTACAACAGAACACCATAGCAGAAAGAGTGTGTGTGAGAGCAACATTGTTCATCTTGTGGTAGTCAGGAAACAAGAGAGACAGAGAAAGAGAGAAACAGACAGAGAGAGGGAGAGACAGAGACAAAGAATGAGAGGATATGGAATATTTGGAATATGGCTATAGGCATAGAGCCCCCCAAGCACCCCTCCATAACCTACTTCCTTTCCAGCTAGACCTTACCATCTAATATTTCTAGAACTTCTCAAAATAGCACCAGCAGCTAGTGGGACCACACCTTCACCAACCTAAGGGAGACAGTGCATATTCAAGCCACAACAGGGATGGTGTGTAGTCTCCATAACACCTCTGCTTTGCCTGTTTGCAAACTCCAGAGGAAGAAGGAACCCACCATAACAGGGTCAAAGGTGAGTACATGGCCTCTCTGCAGCCCAGATGTGTGCAGCAAAGGCTGCTCCTGGATGCCCCATACCTGCCCTGACCTTCCACCCAGGCTTCACCCATGACTGAGTCTTAGTCAAGAGGTACTGGAACTAGCAAGTGAGTGGTGTCTCCAGGTATCACCCAAAGACTCCATCATCTAAGAATTCCCTCTCTCTCCTCTGCCTCTCCAACAGGATGGAAAGAAACCCAATGTGTCAGGATACTGGTCTGTTAGGCTCTGTGGCAGTATGTCCTTTGCCCATGGTCACTTTCCCAGAAGGCTTCAGTTGTTGAATCTGTAACTTCTGGACTCCTGGACGGTAAGCAGTCAGCTCAGACCACTCCAGGCCACTCCCTGCCCACCAGCCCTGCTTTCCATGCTGGATTTTCCCCTGGGAAATCACTGTCACTTCCTTTTGGCCCCTGGTCACCTCCAATCAGCTCTTGGCCTCAGGGCCATCTCACTTCTTCCACAACTCCTGTTAGGCTTGCTTCCTACCACCATCAGCTCCTGTCCATATCCCTCCATATCATACATGGAATCTTCTGGAAACTTCCAAGCCCTTCCTCTGCCTAAACAGTGTATGCCAGTTTTATGTGAACATTGTCTCTTTCCAGAATTTCCTGTGGTAAATGATGTGAAATCTTCTCAGTTGTTGGCTTTTCCACACCTCTCTTAACAATACTGTACTAACACCTCTGCCCAAGTAGGTATCTGAAGAATGGCTGCTTCCTGCCTCTCCCTCTCTCTTCAACACTCTGCACTCCATTGGGAAGTGGAGAGGGAGATGCACTGGGGAGATAGCCCAGTCAGTAAAGTACTTGCCTTACATAAAGACCTGAGTTCAAATCCCAGAACTCATGTTAAAAAACCAGGGGTGTTGGTGTGTTCTTATAATCCCAGCACTGGGGAGACAGAGACAAGAGGATCTCTGGGGCTTGCTGGCCAGCCAGTCTAGCCAACTCAATAAGCTTCAAGACCTTGAGAGACCCTGCCACAAAAAACAAGATGATTAGCACCTGAGGAATGACAACTTGAGGTTGACTTCTGACTGCCACATGCATGTACACATATGTGTACAGGCAAACCTCTACATGCACACACAGCTGATGTGTGTGTGTGTGTGTGTGTGTGTGTGTGTATGAGAGAGAGAGAGAGAGAGAGAGAGAGAGAGAGAGAGAGAGACTGTAATTGGGAACAGACCAAAAGAATAGGGAGAGAACAGGTTCTGAAATCAAGTTTCTTGAATTCATACTTTACCTCCACCAACTAGAAATTGTATGACCTCTAGCAACTCACTTAAACTGTCTGAACCTCAGTTTGCCCAGCTGTAAAATGGGGTTGATACTAACCTCTAAGTCATAAACCTGTGAGAAATAAATGAAATCATGTGGCTGGGCCACTAACACTATATCTGGAGGCCAATAACATCTGGGTGCAGCTTTATTCAGGGCACATGTTCCTAAGCACTTGCCCAAATAAAAGCGAGGAGGATCACATTCAAATCATCTGGCTGGGGAGAGGGGAGAGGTGACTTTACCACCAAGCCATCTCATCAACCCAAAAGCAAGTCTTTTACTAAGAAGTAAGGGAAATGAGTACTGTTGAGTAGGTACCTAAACAGTGACCTTAACCACAGTTGGTAAAGTGGTGTCAGCATAGTGCCAGGTGTAGAGCAAATTCTGGAAAATATTAGTTACTAACATAATCAAAATTTGAACTAGTGTCCATTTGGTTGCAAGGCAATTAGGGAAGAAAGGCTATGAAGTCCTTTGGAATCACCAAAAGGAATCATTTCTTTTTCTTGTTCTGTTTTAAGACAGGTCTTGTGTATCTCAAGTTGACCTTGAACTCTCTATGTAGTCAAGGAAGACTTTGAAGGACCCTGCCTTCACTTTCCAAGTTCTGGGATTCCAGGCACATGCCACCACACTGGGGTTATGTGGTGCTTGGTGCTAGGCAGCCATTCTACCGACTGACCTACACCCCAGCCCAACAAATTGTAATAATTTTTCTCCAGCTGTCTATTGCCTGCCAGATACGTATCTACCGAGTACATTAGTATGTACTTAATAAAGACCTTCTTGAATGAATGAATGAATGAATGAATGAATGAGCAAACCTCTTGGGCTCTGGGGAGCTACAGCTTCCACCACAGAGTTAGTTGACGCTCTGTCCCTGTAACTCTCACTGCCTCTCTGAGGCACTAGTGGAGCGCCAGGTACAATGCCTAGCTCTGCACTCCCCACGGTGCATGACAGCATAAGCACATATTGGGTTTCATTCCAGCATTTCTTGGCCTGTGCGTGCAATGTGCCAGGTTCTGTGCACCCTAGCCTTTTGTGCAATGTCTTCCTCCCTCCCCATCCCCCAAAGGCAGGCGGTAATCCAGCACTTGGAAATGGTGTGAATTTCTCCTAACTGCCATGGTCATGTTTCTTAATCGATAGCCTGACTTGTCAGCACCAAGTAAACACAGCTCAGATCTGAAGAGAAGGAGGATGCCAAAGCGAACTGCTGCAAGGTCTTCCCCAGGTAAGTGAATTAGATCATTAAGTCAACAGGCAGGAGCGGTTCTCTGAGCGGTGACTACGTGCAAGGCATTGCTCTAGGTGCTGCGTACACAGTGACTCCTTTAATCCTTGCACTCTTTAAGGTCTGGTGATGATCCCTATTTTATACACAAGGGAACCAGAGAACAGATAGGTTATTTGACTTGATCGTGAGTCAGCCCTGTGCTCAGGGGATGCAGATGAGGTGGTGAATAAGACTCAGGTGGCTTCCTCCCTCATGGCTGTTAAGAGTACAGTAGAGAAAGTACAGGAAGGATGGGGAGAGGAGGCTTAGTGGGGACAGGGGTATACCTGGGTAGAAGAACAGTGTTTTACAGTCATAAGGTAACTGTGCATGACAACATCTAGTTGTATGTTTAAAAATATTTAGTGGAGAGACTGCAGAGATGGCTCAGCGGTTAAGAGCACTGACTGCTCTTGCAGAGGATTCGGGTTCGATTCCCAGCACCCGAATGGCGGCTACAAACCATCCTTAACTTCAGTTCCAGGAGAATCTGAAGCCCTCTTCTGACCTCCGCGGCACTGCACGACACAGGTGCACTCACATACATGCAGGCAATACACTCAGATACATAAAATAAAAATAATAAATAAAATATTTATTTAAAATTAGGGCTGGAGAGATGGCTCAGCGGTTAAGAGCACTGACTGCTCTTGCAGAAGACCCGGGTTCGAATCCCAGCACCTACATGGCAGCTAACAACTGTCCGTAACTCCAGTCCCAGGGGATCCGACAGCCTCTTCTGTCCTCCATGGGCATTGCACGACACGGGCACACTCCCCTATGTGCAGCCAATACACGCATACACATAAAATAAAAATAACAAACAAATTTTTTAAAAAATTTAGTGGAGAGGATTTTGAATATTCCTAACAGGAAGAAATGATAAAAGTTGGCAGTGATGGATGGCTGTGTCAATAATCCTGACCTGATTATTGCACGTTGTGTATACCTGTGGCAGTGTCACTCTGAACGCATAAATAGGTACAATTGCTATGTATCAACTAAAATTTATATAACTATATATGAACAGCAAGAAGTAAAAGTCACAATATGATTTCAAATAGCATTTCAGTTAGGGATGCTTTGGGCCGCAAGGATCAGAATGTCTGTTGATACTGGTATGGCCTCTTAGAGCTTGTTTTTCCCTCAGGAGAAGAAAGTAAGAGGATGTTGTGCTGAACACCATTCAGTATCACCTTTGTAGTCAGCAGGAAAGGGAGAAAGGAGGAAGAGGAAGGAGAGGAAGGAGCTGAAGGAGGAAGGGAGGAAGAAGGAAAGGAGGAAGGGGAGGAAGGAGAAAAAGGGGGGAAGAGGAGCAAGGGTAGAGAGGAAGAGAAGGGCTCAGTGCCATGTCTGGAGTGCTGGCAGACTCCTCACTGGCCATCAGCCACCTCTGTCCAGATGGTCACTAAGGAGAAGGGCCCTGACAGTGAAAATGTGCTACAGGAGATATCACACAGGGTGATGGGACCGTTTCTGTGTCAGGTGAACAAGAAAGCAGATGTCGAACTGAGACCTGGTGACTGGGACCCAGCCCTGCTACAAAGGTCTGGACTGAGTTCTCTGCATAGAGCAGGCATGATGTGAGGACCTTCATTTGGAAATGAGCAAGATGTCTCTTAGCAAGAGGGTAGTGCAAGGCAGCTGAAGTCAAAAACAAGAAGCAAAACAAGGCCACAGAGGGGGACAGGAGCTGGGCTGCACAGTGGCTTTGGGGTACAATAGTTCGAATCTTATTTGGATTTAAGTAGTGGGAAGGACCTAGAGGCTTTTAATGGAAGAATGGTGAAATCTAATTCATGATTTAAAAAGATTTGGGGGACAGAAGAGCTGCTTTGAGAATCATGAGGTTTAAGGAACGATAACTAGAGGTAAAGGAGTCACTTTCCCCAGCTCCTGCCTCTTGGGTTTGTCTTCTCCCTCTTGGGAACCCTCATTCCTCTTTTCACATTAGGGTGTTAAGACAACTCCTAGACAGCTGGCCTGCGTCCTGCTCACCCCAGGACCTCACACAACGCCAGGCATGTGGTGGCCTCACTTGCTAAGCACGTCTTGAGCCGAACTGGAGAGAAGCAAGTCACTCTGCTCCAGAATCCCCCACCAGCTGCTTCTTGTTCCACCCATGGTTCCGGCTAGCCTGGCAGCTCTCAGTCGGGTGACTTTGCCTTCCTTCCAGGGGACATTTGGCAGTGTCCAAACACCCATTTCATAGTCATTACTAGAAAGAAGCAAGGATGCTGTCAACCTATAAAGGGTAGGGGCCAGCTGCTGGTGGGTTTTTATCCCCCGTAACAAGCCATAGAACACCCCTGGGACACTGAAAACCTGGCTTCAGGTGCCATCAGTGCTGAACTTTGGGAAAACCTGAATTGGCTCTACATGCCCACTCTGCCATTGCCCGAACAGTTTCCTCTAAATTGACTCATATTTTTATTAATACCTGTCAGTTGCGCCAAAAAATGGATCTCATTGTGACTTTTAAAATATCTTATTCTTTTTATTTTATGTATATGAGTGTATTGCCTGAGTGTATGTAAGCACACCCGCGTCATGCAATGCAGACAGAAGAGGGCATCGGATGGATCCCCTGGAACCGGAGTTACAGACAGTTGTTAGCCACTATGTGGGTGCTAGGATTCAAACCCGGGTCCTCTGCAAGAGCAGTCAGTGCTGTTAGCTGTTGAGCCATCTCTCCAGCCCCTCATTGTAACATTTTCCATTCATAAGTATAATATGTTTTGATTCTATTCACTTCCTTTATTACCCTCTCTTAATATAGCTCTCCAAAGGAGTTCACCTTTTAAATGAAGAAGAAAGAAGGAAAGAAAGAAAAGAGAGAGAAAAGGAAGGAAGGGTGAAGACTGGAGCTCAATGGCAGAGCATTTGCCTAGCGTGTGCGGACCCCTGCGTCCCATTCCTAGCAGCACAAAAATAAATAAATAAATAAAATAACAGATAAAATAAAACCAAAACAAAATCATGTATTACTCTCCTAATTAAGAAACCATCCAGGTGTGGTGGTACATGCCTTTCATCTTAGTTCTTGGGAGGCAGCAGCCTTATTGGGACAATTGGCAAACTCTGGATGTGGACTTTACGTTAGGTAATGGTGTGGTACTGATACTACGCTTCCTGAAGCTGGTGACCATGTTGTGGTTGGGCACAGGTTGCCTTTGATCTTAAGGAACACATGGAGCATGTGAGAGTGGTTTGTGGAGCAACAGCCATTGCATTGGTTGATAATGAAAATGTAGTGATGTGAGAGAGCTGGGAAAGATTAATTCAGGGGACACTGCCTCAACCGAAGGACAGAAAGCAAGTGGAGCGAAGGAGGGATGTTCTTGCTATGACTGTGTGTGCAGGTGACCAGGGGCCTCTGGTGGCTGGGCAGGTGGCTGCGTCTCTTCAGTCTTACAAGACTACTATCTCCGAGACTGAGTTTCCAGCTGTGAGGCATGTGAGCAGGTGTCAGCCCACCCTCTGAGGTCTCTAAATGGCACTGACTAGACTTGCCACCCCACCCTTCTTCCCAGTCTTGAGGAAATTCCGATGCCAACACAAAGAGGTCATCAAATTCCTAGAACTTTACATTCTCAGGTCACCCAGGGCTCCATTTCCTTGTCTCCAAGGACTTCTTGTCCTACCTCTGACACTTGTATCTTACTTGTCTTCCCACTCACAGGAATTCAGGCTCTTGGAGTGACTTACAACACATGCACACACAAAGACAGAGACACAAACGTATCCAGACACGCAGGAGACAAAGACACACCCAAGCATACAGACATAGCAACACATACAGACTCAGAGATGGGCCATGTACCCACACACAGCAGTCGCACACATAGATAAACTTGCATGAACATATATGCACACAGCTGGTATATACACAGGCTTAGGATTCCTTCCTAAGTCAGCCTAGGACTTACTGTTCATGGTGTTGGGTAGCATATCTCCTCAAATATGTTGCTATGGTTTGGATGGGGTTTGAGTTTGTCACCCAAAGGTTCATATGCTGGAAGCTTGGTCCCCCGAAAAATCAATGTTGAGGTGGAGGGACCTTTAAGAGGTGGGGCCTAGTGGGAAGCAGTTAGGTTGTTGGTTGGATTCCTCTTGGAAGTTATTAATTAGTTCTAGCAGGAACCCAGTTAGTTCCTAAGAAAGGAAGTTTTTATAAAAAGAGCAAAGCTGGGGGTTGGGGGTACTCAGCAGATGGCTCAGTCAGTAAAGTGCTTGCCATGCAGGCATGAGGATCCAGCACACATGTAAAAATCCAGGCACATGCTTGTAATCCCGACCCTGGGGGGCAGGGGGCCAGGGACAGGAAGATCCCTGGGCCTGCTGACCAGCAACCCTAGCCTTCTTGGTGAGTTCCAGGTTCAGTGAGAGACTGCAACTCAAAAATAAAGTGGAAAGCAGCTGAGGTCAGTATCTGGCCTCCACACACATATGTGGAGAGAGAGAGAGAGAGAGAGAGAGAGAGAGAGAGAGAAAGGCTGGCCCCAGTATCTCCAAATCTTCCTGTCTCACAACATGACTGCTGTCTCCCTATTGAACACACTCCCATCATGATGCCCTCCATCTCATGTAGTAGAGTCAGAGGGGCTCTCACCAGAGGCCAAACAAATGGAGCTGCGTGATCCAAAACTATGAACTAAACTCTTTTCCTTATAAAGCTCCCAGATTCTGATATTTACTTATAGCAACAGAAAAATGAACTAAGATATACACTTAAACTTTTCTTGACTCAGAGATTCATTCACACTGTTCCTCTGCCTGATGACCTCCTTGCTGAATTCCTTCATGGCATTTGTCTTAGCTCGCAATGATTTTTTGGTTTTTTTTTTGTTTTTGTTTTTTTTTTTGGTCTTTTTGATACAGGGTCTCCCTATAGCCCCAGCTGACCTGGAACTCACAGAAATCCGCCTGCCTCTGCCTCCCAAGTGCTAGGACTAAAAAGCATGTGCCACCACACCCAGCTGTACTATACTTTTTTTTTTTTTTTTGGTCTTTTTGATACAGGGTCTCCCTATAGCCCCAGCTGACCTGGAACTCCCAGAAATCCGCCTGCCTCTGCCTCCCAAGTGCTGGGATTAAAGGCATGCACCACCACGTCCGGCCTATGTACTATACTTTTTAAAAGATTTTATTTGTGTGTGTGCACCATGTGTGCTGGTGCTCATTGAGGCCAGAAGAGGGTGTTCTAGGAGCCCCTAGAACTGGAGTTATAGGCAGTTGTGAGCCACCTACTGTCGGTGCTGGGAACTAAACTCTGGCCCTCTGTAAGAGCAGCAAGCACTCTTGACCATTGTGTTTTCTTTAGTAAGTTTTCTGGGGACCAGAAATATGTCATGTTCAACTTCATATCCCCAGAGCTCAGCACACTGCTAAGTCAGTAGTGGTGAATGATGATCCCCTTCAAAGCTTCCGCATGAGGAATAGATTGCCCTAGAGGGCCTTACTTGTTTGTTATTGTTGGTGGTGTTTTGTTTTGGTTTTCTGTGATTTGGGTCTTAGTTTTTCGTGACAAAGTCATACATCTTATGATGTAGCCCAGGCCAGTCTCACACTTGCAGCCCTCCTGAGTGCTAGGATTATAGGCCTGCTCCACTGTGCCCAGCTAAAGTCTTACTTTCTATACCAGCTTTAGAATATATGATTTTCAAGTTCACATCACTCCTAGGAAAGTAGAGAAATGTCCTTATTGAATCATATGGGGAGGTGGGAGAAAGTCAGCAGGCCTCACACTTGCTAGGCAAGTGTTCTACCATTGAGATATGTCCCCAGTCTTTGGTATAGCTTATTAATGGTGATTTTACTCAAATCACTTGATTAATATGGTGCCCGTTTGATTTTTGTTGTTGTTATTTTGAGTCAGGGTCTCCCTGTGACCCCAACTCACCTGGAACTCACTATGTAGACCAGGCCTCAGTCTCACAGAGATCTCCCTGCCTCTGCCTCCCCAGTGCTGGGATTAAAGGTATGTGCCACCACACCCAGCTTCTGGTTGATTTTTTTTTTACCCACTGTAATTAATATCTTGGAGTCAATAACTTGAAACAGTCTTATTTCTCCTCAAAGTTTTGCTCACTTAAATGCAAGCATTCATCCACACACCTCACTCTTAGAAATTAGTTTTGTAGTCTAATGGTAACTGCTTTATTTTCTTCATCTCTTCATTTATTAATTGCAATTCCTCTTTAAAGAATCATTTTCTTCCTCCCCCTCTCTCTCCCTTCATCCCTCTATCCTTTCCCACTTTCCTTCCTACTTTCCTCCCTTCCTTCCTCCCCCCTATCTCCCTCTCTTCCTTCCTTCTTGTTCACATGAACTCATGGACATCTATTTTATTTTATGATTTACAGTCCAATACTATCATTGATTTTTGCTCACATTGCCCCAGCTTTGGGCCACTGGGCACTCTCAGACTCACTCTGTACCCTTTCCATATACTGCCCCCACCACCACTTCCCATTTTCTGCCCCCACGAAATATTCTAGGCTCATTTTGTATTTTCTCTACGCCCACTCTAGAAGCAGACACTTCTCAAGGCGCCCTGGTTCCTTTTACTGATGTTTAGAAATCCAGATTTGTATGAAGTGTGTGCTCATCGCTGGGCCTCTAGAAACCCTTGCTGCATGGCCTCTTGGTGTTTGGAACTTGGAACATATATCAGGTATACCAACGCATGACTTTCCCTCTCTCCCCCATTCCCGCCCTGCCCCTAAAAAACTCTAATTCACACCGTTCTGATACTGCTTACTGCTCATTCAAATACCCTCTCTCTTGTTTGTAATTGTGGGCTTTTTTTCTCCCAACTGAAGGGCTGATACTTAAAGACTGACAAAATTGTGAAGCACGTTCCTTCTCGTGTCTCCTCCTTTCCCTCTCCCCTCACATGGCTGACTAGTACTAGAGTCCAACTTCCAGCACTAGACTTGCTATCAGAACCTGCACAAAAGAAAACTCAGCTGACCCACAGCTGAGCTTCTTGCCCCTTCCTCCTGCAAGAAACACTGAGCATAGGGGATGCAGGGAGTCCAGCGGCCCCTGGAACATGAGCTCATCGTTCCACACAAATGAGTCAGAAGAGATGAGAATGAAAATGTATCTGAGCAGTTGTGTATCAACATGATTCTGAAAAATAGCTATTTTTCCACTTTGGTCCTCTGAGGAGAACCCTGCAACTGTGGCCTCGCGCTCTGGCCACTGGCTTCTTTCATAGGGTATCCATCAGCCACCAGCTGCCTGCCTTATCATCCCCTCAGTGATGTCTGGTTCCATCTCCTCCCGACATGACTGCTGTCCCATCTCCTTCAGACTCCCCATCCTTATACCCTGTGAATTTGGGTCCCCTGGGCAAACTTTTACATCTGGATCCTCAGTCTTTCCCATCGGAAAAGTCACACTTATATTTGCATTTATTTTGCCTGAGGTATTTTTTTTTCTCTTAGGCTCCTTATTTTTATAACACATTGGGTGCAGGGAAATTTTCTGGCTTTCCATCCTTTCATAACAATGCAATCTTGTTCAGCACAGAAACCTCAAGGAATGCTTCCTCTAAAAATCCAAACGGTGCCCACTGCACTCTGGATGCATGACAGATAGGGAAGGAAGGGCCTGTCTGGTGTGCTGACTCTGACAGCCTATGAGGCTTCAATATTGCAGTCTCAGAGGCCCAATTCTTTAAGTTTCTCCTAGAAAGAAAGAAAAACAAGCCTGTTCCAGATATTATTCTTTTTCATGTTATCAGTGAGTCCAGAAACCCACAGGCCTGAATCCTGCCACTCCCATTGGGAAGAGTGGCTGCCACCTACAGTGACCTGAACTGACCAGGAACAAACCCCAAATCCACACCCCCCCCCAGCCTAGAGATGTCAAGTTCATGAAAGGGAGAGCCTAAGGTGAGTCCATATTTTCT